CCCCACCCCCTGGAGTTGAGGTGGGGGTGGGGATTAACCTGGAAGCGTCCTGCCAGCTTTACACTCTGGGGCTAGTCGCCTGACGTCAGGGCGAGTTGCCCGGCGACGCTCTGGATGGACCCCAGGCGTGGACAGGTGGGGAAAATGCGTGGAGCACTCAAGCCAGGTACAGGGTGAGGGACCGCGACAACCAAAAACCCTGGGAAGAAAGAGAGGGCAGGAATGGAAGAAGGCAGCGGGCCACACCACAGCCTTTCCAAAGTTTGGGATTTTTTTTTTTTTTATCGTAGGTTACCATGACTTGACACCAACTATGGAACAGGCAGTGCTCAGAGCTATTTATATCACATATTTCTATCTCCTTTCACCCTCACAGCAACCCTGTGAGGTCTGTTCGATTATTATCCACATTTTACAGCGGAGGAAGGTCACGTGACTTGCACAAGGTCACACAATAACAGCTCCGAGTCCCAAACACCATCGCCCCTGACCTTGATTTACTGCGTTCTATGCCAGCCACTAATTGATTGGTTGTGACCTTCAGGGCAAGTTTCTTCTGCTCTCTGGACCTCAGTTTCCTCTGCTGTAAAATGGAGGGTGGAGCTCATAACCCAACCTACCAATCAGACGTGAGCAGGCACCCACTCTTGGCCTCTGAGGTTTCCAAAGCGTCCCCCACGTGATTCCAGTGTACAGCCAGGGGATTAGAAGATCTCAAAGGCCCCACCATCTCTGAAGTCTCTGAGTTCATAATGTGCACATGGTGGGATTTCAGGCAGCAGCAGGCTCAAAGGTAGCTATGTAGGTGGGGAGGTGTCTTCCAGGTGCCTCTTAAACCCGGCTAGGTAGGCGAATGACCCTCTCCCTCCGCCTCCCTCTGCCTCCCCACCATGCTCAGTCTCAGGTCTTCACTTATGCTCCCACCAAGCACTCATACTGCCCACCTGCCTCACACAACCCCCCACATGCCCACCTCCCTGAGGTCAGGCCGTCATTCCCCTCTATTCCCAGCCTCCCCTTGCTCTTGGTCATGTCCAATAACTGCATTATGTGAATAAAGACAGTGTCAAGATGGATTTGCCATGGTTCAGAGAACCACCAGGCAGGCCAGCCCCTGAATGCTGGCTCCAGTCAGGGAGCTAAAAGGGGGCTAGGGGACAGAGAATACCTCATTCCTCACCGCCCCTATATGCCCCTAACATACCAGACTTGCTAAAATACCTGCATGTTCTTCCATGTGTCTCCTGGGCTTCTAGGCCTTTGCTGATGCTGTCCCTTGCACTAAAATATCCCCCCTTCAGGTAGTTGGTTCTTGCTCCTCCTCCAGATTTCAACTAGGGTACCACCTCTTCCGAGAAGCCTTCCCCGACTGCCACCCTCCGGGCTGGAATGCTTCTCCCTTTGTAGATGTACCCAGTCTGTGTTACAATGGCCCACTCACTTATTTGTCAGCCTTGCCCACCAACCTGAGAGCTCTGTGAGGACAGGGGCTACATTCGAATTGCTGTATCCCTGACACGAGCCTGGCATACAGTCAACGCCCAATTAAGAGTTGTTGAATTAATCTTGAATCAATGAATGACTGTGGACCAGGTTTTTGTTTTTATTTCTTGTAGGGGAAGCAGGGAGAGCAGGAGGGAAGGAAATCGGACTGACTGGGTTTGAATCCTGACTCTTCAGGTTACGAACCATGTAACTGACTGGCTCTGTGCCTCCGTGTCCTCCCATCTGTAAAACAGGGTTAAATGTCACACAGGCACTGCTCAAGGGGTCTGGAGCCTGAAACTTTTGCTCCTACCCTCCCACATATGTAAGGTGAGTCATGCCCTCACTCGCTGAAGCCTGATGCTAATTCATTCATTCGTCATTTCCTAAGGACCTGCCCTGTGCCAGCCACTGGGGATTCAGCAATGACCCAGACACAGTCCCTGGCCTCGTGAAACTCAAGTTTCTTGGGGCACAGAGAAGGCAACTAACAGTTATCATGCAGGGTAACAGGGAAGTAGAAAGCCCAGCGCAGCAGGCTCCTGACCCAGCTGGTGAAAGCCTAATCGGCTGCCCTACAAAACATGAGTAGGAGGTAGCCAAGGGTAGAGATGAGGGAAGGGTGCTCCTGGCAGAGGGAAGGGAACTGCCACTGTGAAGGTCTAGTGTCCCAAGTGAGGGAGCTGTGAATGTCCCAAGAGCAGAGGTTGGTCAGAGGCTGAGCTAGGGCTGGGGCAGGGAGGCAGGGAGGCAGACACTGAGCCTTTATCCTGGTGGGGGGGAGCAGGCCTGCCCCAGCCTCTCTCCCCAGCCCCCAGTTGCCTCACCTGCCCTCGTTGCCATAATCTAGGCCAGAGCCTGGAGGGAGCCGAGCCCCTATTGGTGCACACCACGTAGATTTTTCA